TAACTGCTTCTGTGCTGCAATGGCTGAGCTGAGTAGTTGCAACAGAGAGTGTGTGATCTTAAATTATAATGAACCCTAAAATATTTACTATCTGGCCCTTTATAGAAAATGTTTGCCAAATCCAGTCTTAAAATGTTATAGGAATGTAAAAATTTTGTTCTTTAAATATACTCAATTTTCTGACTGATTTTATATATATACATATATATATATATATATAATTTTTCCTAAAATCATAAATGTTTAAGTCTGTTGTCTTTTCACCTGAAGAGTTTGGAGCATACAGAACTATTCAATATATTTATCTGCATTGATCTCATCTCTTAATTATGTGATGATGTGTTATTATTACTATTATTCAGATACTAGCTATCTATAATAATAGAAGGGTAATATACTATTTAGACCAGACGACCTTCCGGACGACCTTCCCAACGAAGCCGGGTCTGTGAGGGAAGCCTGGGTCTCGGGTGCCTACTGGCAGCCGCAGGTAAGCCTAAGTCCTGGGTGCCAGAGAGAAGCCGGTGCCAGCAGCAAGGGGAAGGAAGGCCTATTCCTGCACGATTTTCATGCATCAGGCCTCTAGTCAATTATAAGTATGTAAAACATTTCATATGTGTCATCATTTTATACCTAAATAATCCTATAAAGTAGGTGCTAATATTCCCATTTGAGAGAAGGCATAGAGAGGTTTAATGACTTGTCCAAGGTCACGCAGCAAGTCAATGAGTGGTTAAACCTAGACTAAAAGCAGGCCTATCTGATTGTAAGTCATGTTCCTATGCATTACACTACACTGCCTTCCTAGGCATGGAATCCTCCCTCCTGACCTTCCCCTTGTCTGAAGCCCTACCACACTCTCCTATTCTGACTTGTACCTACCCAACTTCCAGCCACCACTAAAAGCATATCAAATACTCACTTCAGCAGCACATACACTAAAACTGGAACTATACAGAGAAGATTGCATATCATCCTTGCACAGGGACCATGCTAAACTCCTGCAAAGTCCCTTTTTTTCCGCTTATCTTGGCAAAAATAAACTCGGGAATGGTGAGCCAGAAATTAATGAAATTGATTACTTCTACCGAGTGGGGGAAATGAGTATTGGGATAGAAGGGGGGAGGGGAGGGGAGAGTAACACATCTCTGAATATCTTTTAACATAGTTTTGACTTTTGAATCATATTAATATTTTACATATTCAGAAAAAAAATAAGTCAACAAGAATGAGAGGAATAACTCAACCTCAACTGAGAGAAGCAATTGGAATCAACAGTATTTCAAATGAATAACAATTATGTGGGCCGTGGGAGCAGGAGAAAACCAATTCCCAGAAACTTTTGAATAGAATCCTTTGATTATATACATCCATTTAGTTTAAAGACAAAAGATGCATACAAATCCTAAACTCTTCTTAATAGGCCTATTTTTCACAGTATGAATATAGCAATTCTAAAACTATTCTGAGAAAGTATTTCAATGATTTTGAAAAGTATGGGGAAGCCTAGGAGAACTCTGCGGGACAGGAATATAATTGGAAGTATAATAATCTACAATAATAAAAGTGTAATATGCTAATTAGACCGGACATCTTTCCAGGACGAAGCTGGGGCTGCAGCCACCGTGGCTGCAAGAGAGGGGTCGAGGCATCTGCAGCTGCGAGGGAGGATTGAGGCAGCTGCCTCAGCTGCAAGGGGCGGATCGAGGCAGCGAAGGCCTACTCTTGCAAGAATTTCATGCATCGGGCCTCTAGTAAATTTATAAATTCTAAAATGCATGTTTTCTAACCCTGCCCCTGAAAGGACCTAGAAACAGTGACACTGAATGAATGAGTACAACAAGTATCCAATCTTGATTTTGAAATATCAGTCCTCACTAAAAAACAAGAGCTCCTTACAGAAATGGTTGATTCCAGACCTGGGGAAAAAATGTATAAGATGAAACTAGAACCTCTTGTGCCAAAAGGAAGGAACTGCTCACCAAAATGACAGGAGCTATGTCAAAAGGATACAGGAGCAGCTGAAGGGGCTTCCTGCAGGCCACTCTCAGAGGATTTCAGCATCAAAGTAAACAATAGTAATGGACCATAACCCACTGAATAAAATAAGAAACCACCTGTCCGTGCTGATAATAGATAAGCCAAAAAATAAGTGGAGTGCTTTTATCATTAAGAAGGTTTTAAAGAAATATATAAGGAATAATGAAATTAGAAAAACTGCCATTTTGCAACCATTATAATTCAGGCAAAACTTACCAATAGATGCAAAATCTGTGGGGTACAAGTAAGAGAACAGGATATTTTCATAATCTCAAAGTATCTCCCTACAAATTGCTGCAAAAGAAAATTTAACTCTGCAGTGTGTAAGACTGGCAGACACTAACTTAGACAAGTGACAAAAATTAACGTCATAAATGAGACAAACCAACACAACACACCTTCTGATGTAGTACACTGAGAAGGACACAACATCACTTATCTAATTTTCCTGCCAAAAATGTGTAACCTGCTTTTCAACATGAGGAAAAATCAGAAAAGCCCAAATTGAGGGATATTATATAAAAGGCTGAGGAACTTTTCTAGAATAAAGATGACTAAAAAGACATGACAACTAAATGAAACCCATGATCCTATATTGGATCTATACCGGGGGGTCGGGGGGGAGCTATAGAGGAATTTATTAGGACAACTGATAAAATTGCAATATGGACACATTAGATTAGTTTAAAAGCATTTGTCACTGACAGATTTCCTGAATTTCATAGTTGTAATATCTATACCAATAAAAGGGTAATATGCTAATTAGACCAGATGTCTTCTGGATGACCTTCCGGACGTCCTTCCTGACAAAGCTGGGCCCTGGCAAAGCTGCCCTGCCCCTGGTCCTGGGTACCTGTGGCTGTGGCCCAGGCAAAGCTGCCCCGGTCCCGGATTGTGAAAGGCATGTCCAACTGTCAGACATCACCCAAGGGGTCCCAGATTAGAAAGGGTGCAGGCCGCGCTAAGGGACACCCACCCCATCCTGTGCATGAATTCCATGTACCGGGCCTCTAGTAGTTATATATAAGAGAACATCATTGTGCTCAGTAACTACATTCTGAAGTATTAAGGGATAAAGAGATGACATATGCAATCCACTTTTTCAAATGGTTCAGGGAAATTACATATATGTCTATGAGTGTGCCTGTACATATAATACATGTGTGAGAGAGAGAAGAAGAAAGCAAATGTAGCATACGGTAAAAATTGGAGATCTGAGTAAAGGGCTTTATAGGAGTTCTTCATGTTATTGTTACATTCTTTCAGTAAGTTTGAAATTATCCCCCCTCAATTTTTAGAAAATCCCACCAACCATGTACACAGTATAATATTCACTTCTCTTCTAAGTTGAACTATATGTCAGCAGTTTGTATGTACCACCTTTTTGCCATCATGTTCTCTGTCTCTACAGGGCCAATGACTAGAGCTCTGAAGCAGGCACGTGTTTGACAAGGCATTAAATAAAAAATAGAAACACAAGCTCTGAACATCAGAGGCTAAGATATAAAAAAATCCACGCATGTTTGCAAAACTTCCAAGCCCTTCCCTGCTGACATTAGAAAGGCATTGCTGCGTGTGCCCCATGTCCTGAGCTTCCCCCAGATAATCCCACATGACTTTCCAACTCACCGATTTTCCATTTGGTCACCCACTCAACCTTCAGCACTGTCATATCTTTTGCAGAGCTAAAAATAGCCATTCTATCAAACGGGAAGTTAAATAAAGTACTATTTACAATTAAGAAGATAACTTCCCTAAGACTATTTTTGTAATGATGACAGTGCATCAGCAAATCCAGGATTCTGACAAAATACAGGCATGGAAGCATGCTCTATTGCATGAAGTTTATCATGTATTCTTAGCTCGGTAGGAGGATTGCCAGCTCTGGAGTCAGATCTCTTGGAGTCAAATCCTGAATTTGTCCAGCTGGAAAACTTAGAGCAAGCTACTTAAACCTCCTGGTCCTGTTTTCTACATCTGTAAAACAGAGGTTGATAACAGTGCCCATGTATGAATCTCAGACATTTTGTTGAACAAAAGAAGCCAGGAACAGTAGAGTACATAATATATGCTACCTATATGATGTTCAAGAACAAGCAAAACAAACTATGGTGATAGAGGTCAGAAGAGTGGCTATCTTTGTGGGGAAGAGCTAAAAATACTGATTGGGAAGGGGCACAAGGGAGCCTTCTGGGTGGTAGAAATTAAATTTTCCTTCATTTGGGTGGTGGTTACATATGAGTAAGTATATAAATATTCATTAAGCTGTACATTAAAAATTTGTTACACCTCAACAAGAAAGTAAATAAAATGAAAAACACAGTACCAACCAAATAGAACTATTATAAGGATTAAATGAGAAAACGTATGCAAAGTGCCAGGTTCATGATAAGTCAGTATTCTTACAACTACTTATTACAATAATGTAACTGTTATTTTTAAGAGATGAATCTACTTTTCTTTTTGCCACTCCTGTTCTTATAGTTTTTTTATACCATTTCAAACTTCCTTCTCTTGCCTTTGCAGCTCCATAGTGCTCTCTTTCTATTTTGATAAAAGAATTATAACATTTAGAAAAGTTTGAAGAGCTTTTTTAAAGAAGTAAATAAGATGGCCAAAAGTATGTGCACTTGGAAATAACACTAAATCAGGAAATCGCATGGAAACCATCAGATGTTAATGAACTACAGAACTAAGAGAGCTCATATGGATGAGTAGGCACCAGGGCCAGTTTCTCAGTAAGTTCTAAATTCTAGAGGAAGTTTAAACTGAACAGAAGAAACTCAAGGAAAGGGTAAACAAAAAATGATGTATTTAAAACATTTTTTAATGAAACATTACCAATCTATCTATCCCTTCTTAAAGGGCTCTCACCCTGAAGTTCATTTCCAACTGTCTTTGACCTGGTAGATTTTCTTAACTGTTACTCTCAGGTCACACAGGAATTTTTTCAGACTTACCTTTATGAAAGCACAGCCAGTACCATTATCTGTAATGGTGAGGCCAAGTGAATCCTCAGATTTATACACATTCACTTCTTTTTTGATCCCTTTCACGTGGGCAAATATGAAATCTTCAAGACCTATTTGTGATCCTAAGAGTTTTTCCATGTCAACTTTAGGTGTGTTTAAAGTGCAATATAAGATCTGCAAGAAGAAAAAAAACATTTCAGGTCAGTTTCCATCAGGAAAACATTCTGGTCATTCATTTACTTAATAAATATTTGGCCCTAACCGGTTGGGCTCAGTGGATAGAGCATCGGCCTGCAGACTGAAGGGTCCCAGGTTCGATTCCCGTCAAGGACATGTACCTTGGTTTTGGGCACATCCCCAATAGGGGGTGTGCAGGAGGCAGCTGATCAATGTTTCTCTCTCATTGATGTTTCTAACTCTCTATCCCTCTCCCTTCCTCTCTGTAAAAAATCAATAAAATACATTTTAAAAAATAAAAATAAATAAATAAATAAATAAATAAATAAAAATTTGAATGAAATAGTCCCTGATTTATGACATAAGAGGTTAGTTATATCAGTAAAGTACAGGGTAGGAAATATTGTCAATAGCGTGGTCAGGTGCTGGAAATTTCAGGGGAACACTTTGTAGGGTATGGGATTGTCTACCTACAATGCTGAACACCTGAAACTAATACAAAATAACATTAAATGTAAACGGTAATTGAAAAAAAAATTTTTTTGAAAAAAGGTTATATCAACAATATTAGGTACTTTTTATTGTTCCCCATAAACCAGACTCTGTGATAGGCAAATTACATCCATTATCTGCTTTAATGCTCACAATAACTTTATAAATACATTATCATCTTCATATTACAGATGAGGAAATTGAGTCTTAGTGAGAGTAAATAATTTGCCTTTGGTCACTAAGCCAGTACTTGTCAGTCAAGATTGAGTTCAGGTCTTGCCAATTTCAAAGTGGTTTAATCTTCTGTCACTCCCATTTACAGTGCTGAAATCAAAGGTTGTGTTCCCAAAGGTCAGGTCATGCTCTCTATGCCACAATGAAAATACATGCAAGCCTATTTTTAAAAACTGGTAACAAAATGTTAATGAGGAAAATTTTATTTTACATTACAGTGCTTGAGAAAGGTAATTTAATTAGTGAATGAGGGGCTAAAATAAAAATGTCCAAAATGAACCTTACAGATTAATCCAATTCCTTAATTTTAAAAAAGAGGAAACTGAATTCTGGAGCGTGTAATGCAGCTTGCCAAATTCACATGATGGTAAAGAAAGAATAAAAAACTAGAACACTGGAAAGCTGTGTGGAGATTTTAAAGGCACTTCTTTTTAAGCCACATCAAAATGTATCTGAATAGAAACAGCTCTCCCTGCTATACAATTAAGAGTCCAGCGTGGCCTGCACAGCTCTGACCAAACCTCAGAGGTGTGTGAATGAAGCTAGTGATGAGGACAGGGGAAGAGGCCCGCAGGGTACTGAATAAAAGCCTACAACAGTGGTTCTCAACCTTCCTAATGCCGCGACCCTTTAATACAGTTCTTCATGTTGTGGTGACCCCCAACCATAAAATTATTTTCATTGCTACTTCATAACTGTAATTTTGCTACTGTTATGAATTGTAATGTAAATATCTGATATGCAGGATGTATTTTCATTGTTACAAATTGAACATAATTAAAGCATAGTGATTAATCACAAAAACAATATGTAATTATATATGTGTTTTCCGATGGTCTTAGGTGACCCCTGTGAAGGGGTCATTCGACCCCCAAAGGGGTCGCGACCCACAGGTTGAGAACCGCTGGCCTACAAGGAAAACTACTGCCCCCACCCTTTTCTCTTTTCTTTTTTTTTTTTTTTTTTTAGCTTGTAGCTAGCATTTTATTTTTTTTTTATTTTTCGCTATAAGTATTACAAAGGGTATTACATAAGTGTCCTTTCCCCCCCCACCACCCTTGACAAGCCCCTGCCCTCCCTTACCCCCCAGTGTCTTATGTCCATTAGTTATGGTTATATGGATGCATACAAGCCCTTCGGTTGATCTCTTACTCCCCTCCCTCCTGTCCCCCAACCCTCCCTGGCCTTCCCACTGCAGTTCGACAATCAGTTTGAGGCAGCTCTGCCACTGTATTTATTATTGTTCGAAAGTTTGTAATGGTCTTAATTATCCACGAAAGAGTGAGATCATGTGGTATTTTTCCTTCATTGACTGGCTTGTTTCACTTAGCATAATGCTCTCCAGTTCCATCCATGCTGTTGCAAATGGTAAGAGTTCCTTCTTTTTAACAGCAGCATAGTATTCCATCGTGTAGATGTACCACAGTTTTCTAATCCATTCATCTACTGATGGGCACTTAGGCTGTTTCCAGATCTTAGCTATGGTGAATTGTGCTGCTATGAACATCTGGGTGCATATATCCTTTCTGATTGGTGTTTCTGGTTTCTTGGGATATATTCCTAGAAGTGGGATCACAGGGTCAAATGGGAGTTCCATTTCCAATTTTTTGAGGAACCTCCATACTGCCTTCCATAGTGGTTGCACCAGTCTGCATTCCCACCAGCAGTGCACAAGTGTTCCTTTTTCTCCACATCCTCTCCAGCACTTGTCATTTGTTGATTTGTTGATGATGGCCATTCTGACAGGTGTGAGATGGTACCTCATTGTTGTTTTGATTTGCATCTCTCGGATGATTAGTGACTTTGAGCATGTTTTCATATGTCTCTTGGCTTTCTGAATGTCCTCTTTTGAAAGGTGTCTATTTAGATCCTTTGCCCATTTTTTGATTGGATTGTTTATCTTCTTTTTGTTAAGTTGTATGAGTTCCCTATAAATTTTGGAGATTAAGCCCTTATCAGATATGACGTTGGCAAATATGTTTTCCCACGAGGTGGGTTTTCTTTGAGTCTGCAGGCTGACACTCTATCCACTGAGCCAAACCGGTTAGGGCTGAGGTGGGTTTTCTTGTTGTTTTGTTGATGGTTTCTTTTGCTGTGCAGAAGCTTTTTATTTTGATGTAGTCCCATTTGCCCCCACCCTTTTCTCTTTTCATCCAAGTCTATGAGCTGTGCTAACTGGTTGGCCTTTAAATTTAACCCTTTGTGTTCTCAGGGAGAACATAATATATTTGACTTTGAAGTTATTACGTTTTTGCAAATGTTCCCTACTGTAAAAATTGCTTTATTCACAGGGAAAAAAAGTCATTCAAGACGAGAATGGCTCATATTTCTTATTTTAATGGTAAAACCAATGGTTTAATTAGTCCACTAACAAAAATCATTAAGAATGGGTGGAGAATGAAAGGAGTATGCATAGAAAACAGCTTTTCCTGACTTCCTTTCTCAAAATGATGAGAACAAAGAAATAAACCTGGTTTTTCTCCTTGTTCTTTTCCCATGAATCTGTTCATGGTATTCATAGTGGATCCAAAACACCACTAATATAAAAGCAAATTACCAGGTAGACAGGAAATAAAACATTAAAACTTACTGATAATATAACAGAGCGGGGGGAGGGGGGACCTAAAAAGGAAGTCGCACACAAAATGAAATTCTAATTCGTAAGCTGCTTCCTTTCTTTCCATTTTTCACATGCTTCACTGCAGAGCAGTTAGATTTCCTGTAGGTATACCCATTTTCCATTGTGCTCCCTCCCCTGCAAAATAATGTTCCATTCCAGGTAGCCAACAGTTGGCAGGGAAGGTGTCATTTTTTTCTGGAGGAAGGAGTGGAGCCAGCTATACCCTTCATGGAATGGAGCTCCACGGGAAGCTGTGTTGCAGGAATGTAACCGTCCCTGGGAGGTGGAGTAAGAGCCAGCCCTCATCAGCAGCAGGTAAATAAAGCTCCATGGCTTCAGATCAACTCTTCATGGGAGAATAAAAACCTAACACTCACACAACCGCAATGCACAACTATCAGCAAATCTATCTGTAAGTATGTGATAAAGATCTAGAAATTCAAACACATCCTCTGTACTGTATTTTGAACTAAAAAATAAGAAAGTGAAACACCACATTCTAAATGTTGCATTCATCTACTCACCACTTGGGGCCCCTGCCTTTGCCAGGTTCTGAGCTGCACTCTGGATGTACAAAGAGTATGGCCATTCCCCATAGGCAAGGCACTGCCTGGCTGGCAGAGGCTCCACTGAGGTACCATGAGGCAACATGAGCCAGTTGTCATTTATTAAAATCCATGAATATTTAAACCAAAGGAAACTCAAATACATATTGTAAACTTTCCTACTTTCATTCATACATTTCCTTCAATTCAAAATCTAAAATGCCTGTCTGCCCATCCATCCCTATGCCCTCGTCCATTGACACTCTGTTCAAATGTGACTGCCCAGGTGGAAACGATCATGCTTTCCACTTTTCTCACGTCATCTAAATCTCGTAGCTCAGTGCAGTGTCTGAGTCGCCTTGCCTTGAAGTCCAGTTGCTGTAACACATATTTGTCACTCTCACTCTGAGAGAGGTGAGAACCTGGTCATCTTCCTCTCTCCTAGAATGTCTAACAGTGTCCTGCTCAGGCTATATCCCAATGGCATTCACAGTACACATTCACTTATCTCATTGAATACAGCATACCTGTGTCCTGGGTTGTATTATCCTCATTTTGTAGATGAGAAAATTATGATTTTATACATACAATTAGCACAGTTATAAATGCTTAACGGTAAAATATTTTTTAAAATAATATTTTTAAAAAAGAAAAAATACAGTGAGGCAGTTATATTATCAATGTTCCTTGAAGAAATATTTGCTTCCAGAGTATATGTACACTAGATAAGATGTAGTACTCTCAAGGCAAGGTGTCATATAAGGAAAAATATCTATCCATTAGATAAACCTTTCTGAGGTTGTTCATTATAAACTGTAATGCTTAACATCTTCTGGGGTACCTACTGTGTATTTGGTGTTGTACCACCATCATTGCCAATATTAATAGGAGAGATGGAGTACTCATGATGGTTCAATTTTCTAGAGCAGCAATGCCCAATAGAAGTGTAACTCAAACCACATAATTCAATCTTCTAACAATCACACTAACAAAAGTAAATAGTTGAAATTAATCTAATTTCCTCAATTATATAATCCCATACACCCAAAATATAATTTCAACATATAATAAATATAAAAATTGAGATACTTTTTAAACATTTTTTA